TATTTGTAGGTGAGCTCAAATTAGCATCATGTATATTTTTTTTAGCTCTAGAATCAATCAGTTAGAGGAAATATATTCCGTAAATCTTGATCGAAAGGGTCGCATTCTAGCATTTCGCCTTCGCCGATCTGGCAATCGTCGCTCAAATCAAATCACCACCTGATTCCAAGTCAAGAGGGACGGAGGATATATAGCAGAATTCGAATGCTAAAAGGGACCCCCGTTGCGATAAAACAGCAACAATATTTTGAGGAAGCGAAACCAAAAGAGGGACATCCCATCACGAAATCCATCTTCCAGCATAAGAAAAAGCCGAATATGCTTCCAATCATATGCATTCAGAGCTCCAGAAGTAGAGCTGACATGCACAGCTCACCCCATGCAGCAGGGCATCCAGCGAGCACCAAATGGCGACCATAAACATTGATATTCCCAACCATGCGATTTAAACTCGCTCCACCAATCAATTCCCATGAACCGGGGGGGGGGGGGTATACAAGCCAGCAGAGCCTCGGGGCATTAGAACTTCCCAAGACACTCTCCCCTTTAGGGAGTGTGAAAGAAACTCCAGCGTACCAACACGGCCAAAACAAAAGTACAAAGCACAGAAACATGCACAAATCTTGAAGGGAGATAAGATAAAGTAGAAAATAAAAAATATATAAAAAATATAAAAAAATATAAAACATACCATCTCATCAAGATCGCAATAGCTCGCCTCAACCAGGACGCTTTCTTCCCCCTCCGCCCCCTCTCCTCCAGTTTTCGTCCCCGCTATGTCCAGCTGGCGAATACCAGCATCGATGCCAGTATCATCAGGACCTTGATCATTCTCCGCATCCTGGTCGTCAATGTCGTCCCCTCCAAAGCCAAATGTGAAAGTGGACATTTGGAGAGACGCGTTCCCTAGATCTTTGTGTCTCGTTTTGTTCAGAGAAAACGGACGTTTCTGGATATTCGCGCTCTCAATTTCACCGGATATATTTATTTCTAGGTGTTGTTGGAGCAGGTCCAAAAATGGCCTTAATTATGTGTGATAAAAAAAAAGGGGGGGTGGTATTTTTTGAATTAATAAAACTAAAGGAAATTCAAAGAAATTCACAATGAGAGCTCAGGAAGTCTGAATAATATGATCCAGCTATACAAAATCCGTATCTTAACATACATACCATACGCGGTCATAATAATTATTAATGTTCAAATATCGCGGCGGGGGAAAATTTTCCCTTTTCTAACTAGTTAAGTTAGTTACCGAACACGCACATCTTGGCTTGGAGCCACGCCGGCGGAAACCACGAGCTCTTTTACCTCTCTCTGTAAGCGGACGGGGCTGGATGTTTGTTTAGTTGGGCGGAGAGAACAAGAGAAGACAAGTATCAGGTAAAAAATTCATTGAGTCAGCCCTCTACTACTTCAGAAGTTCGTACTGACCGAGCACCATGGCTACATTTTACATTTGTCTATCCAGGCGGCAGGAGGACTGAGGGCGATATGTGCTCCGTGATGAAGTGCTGACCAAGGGTGAAAAGTATGGCTAAGCAATTAAGAGAGTGAGTGCAACTCATTATTATTGATATAAATAAGAAGAGCTCAGCTCAGGGGACAGGAAAATTCCAAGATCCAAGATATCTCCGAAGAAGAGGCACTAAATTATTACGCCATTTCTGCCCAGTAATTCCATGTTTTGATAACAACCACTATCTCTATGAAAAGCTCCGATTTAGCTATGTTATAAACTCACCAGCTCATTTTACTTATTTAAATTGCCTACCGGTTTGTGATATTTCATGCTTCTAACATGTTAATAAAAAATGATAATTGCGAGGGAAATAATAAGAATATAAAATATACGCTTTCATCTGGTTACTGCCTCTATTTTTTTCTAAAGGAAGGAAAAGGATATGGGAAACTTCCCAGATGTCAGAATTAGATAGAAAGTATGTTGACCAAAAAAATATGTTGATGGGTGGTAGATGGTCCCTATATTTATTCTCTCTCTCTGTCTCTCTCTCTTTTTTTTTTTTTTTTTTTTTTTTTTTCTTTTTTTTCCCCCTCAACCAACAAAACCAGACCTCCGGTAAAAGTTCAAACGAGAAAATAATCATCCCGTATATAAAAACGTGGATAACAAAGACAAGAAAAGATTCTATAAGCATGACTGAAAAATCTGAGAGTTGAAAAAAAAAGGGGGCATTTCTTCATAACTCAGCCTAACAGCAGAGCCAGCCATAGAAGGCACCACAACCACACCACACAGTATGAAAAGGATTAGCAGAAAAAAAAAAGGGAAAAGAAAAAGAAAAAAAAAAAAAAAAAAAAAAAAACAACATCATCAGAAAAACGAAAAGTACAAAAGGAAAGAAAAACGAAAAGTACAAAAGGAAAAAAAAAAAAACCAGGACCGCTCACGCCCGTCCATTCGCCGCGGCCCCATTCCCATTAATCTTCGGCCCAACAACAGCCTTCTCAAGCGCCTGCATCACATCCGCCAACAAATCCGCACTATCCTCAATCCCACAGCTAACCCGCACAAGATCATCAAACACCCCCGCCGCCTCCCTCTGTTCCTTCGGGATGCCCGCATGCGTCATGCCGCCGGGCACCTCGACAAGCGACTCCACACCACCCAAGCTCTCCGCCAGCACAAACACCTTGGTCTCCTGGCAGAAGCGCTCAGCGGCCGCCACGCCGCCCTTGATGCGGAAGCTGAGCATACCGCCGCCCATACCGTCGCGGTGCTGCTTGAGGGCGATCTCGCGGTGCGGGTGCGACTTGATGCCTGGGTAGTTGACGGCGATGACGTGCGGGGAGGCTTCGAGGGCGGTGGCGATAATGGTGGCGTTTTTGGAGGCTTCGCGGGCGCGCAGGTGAAGGGTTTTCAGGCCGCGGTGGGCGAGCCAGCAGTCGAAGGGGGAGGGCACGGCACCGATGGCGTTTTGGAGGAATGAGAGGCGTTCGTGGAGTTGGGTGGAGTTGAAGGCGGCTACGCCCATGAGCACGTCCTGGGGTGGGGTGTTAGCGATTGTTTTATTTTATTTATTTTTTTCCCCCCGGAACGAGAGGACTGATAAAGTAAAATTTTCAAAGGTATTTCTACTTACAGAGTGGCCATTGATGTATTTGGTGACTGAGTGGATGACGATATCCGCACCGTGGTCGAGAGGGTTCTGGATATAGGGGCTGAGGAAGGTATTGTCGACAACAACCATGATACCGTGCTGGTGGGCAACGCTGGCTACTTTTCTGATATCGACGAGGCCGAGGGTAGGGTTCGAGGGGCTTTCGATCCAGATCAGCTTGGTGTCATTGGGGCGGATCAGCTCTGCGATGTCGATTTCGATGCTGGGGGAGAATGTAACATGCACCCCGTGGGCTGCAGCGACCTTGGTGAAGTATCGGTGGGTTCCACCGTATACATCAGAGACTGATATGACGTGGGATCCAGCCGCGAGGGATTGGAGGATGACGGCTGTAGTTGCAGAGCCAGACGAGAAGGCCAATGTATATCGGGCGTGCTCGAGGGCTGCTACGGCTTCCTCGAAGTGATCTCTATTTTTTACCAGCGGGGAGGGGAATTGTCAGCGCGCTCGCTTGAAGCAATGGAGTAAAATTATATATATATATATATATATATATATAGAAGGAAATTGGGGGCAAACCAGAGGTTGTACGGACCTGTTTGGGTTTGCGCTTCTTGTGTACTCGTATTGTCCCATGGGCTTTCCGACGCCAACTTGGGCAAATGTCGTAGAAAGGGAGATCTGGGAGTGAAGTGAAGCCGTTAGTTTCACAGCCTGGCCTATGAAGACAGTAGTAGAGGGGGGGGGGGGGGAAACTTGTCTCTTACTGGAGCAATCACAGCGCCAGTTGTAGGGTCTACATGCGCACCGGCATGCACAGCCAATGTGCCGAATTGATGAACGGGGGAGGGAGCCCGTGGAGGGGTTTCAATGGGAGCTTCATCGCGCTCGGAAATTGTGCTTGATTTGATACCGCTCGTCATGGTCGCTGTCTGTGAACTGTGCACGCGGAATCGACAAACAAAGGGAATTAAGCAGCAAGACGAGACGAGAAAATAATTGAGCGGGGAGAACGAAGGCTGGCTGGTATTATTTTACTATTTGGCGGCAATCGGGAGCTAAGAGAAGAGGGGGAAGCGGAGAGGGTTGCACCGGAGACAGGACAGAGGAGATAGATGGGCGGAATTGGTCTGAATATCTGCGGGTTGCTGATGGATGAAGTGGGAGAGGATAAGGAATAAGTTCTATGGGATGAAGATGATGTTTCTTTATATAAGAAGAATAATGCTACAAAACAAACGATGAGGGGCGACGACGAAGGAACCAGGCCATTATGATTATTGTCAATAACTAACTAATTTGTTTATTATTGATGTTACGGGCACGCCATTCGCCCGCGGCAAACGACGAGAATGCTCTACGCAACGGTCCACGGATGGTCTGTTTTCTAGCTTTCGGCTATTTATGGTTATATATTTGTAAATATTATACATTAATTTTATTAGTTAACTACGGAGTATTGTTGTCCATTAACTATTTATTATTACGATCGCAAGAATGGATGATCATGGAGGACGATCGGGGAAAATCTATACGGAGTTATATCAAAAAATGAGTAACAATGCTTCACCGAACAGAAAAAGAAAAAGCAAAGAGAGGTAGAAGAAGAAGAAGAAAAAGAAAAAGAAATTATAGCATCATCCCCCCCCCCATCCCCCGGAAGCCGAGCACAACAATCCCCATCCCCGATTTCCCCTCAACTTCTTCCTTTGTCCCTGCGTATTCCAACCGGCGATGGACTCCAATGAGCGTGCTGCAGCAACCTGTCTGGCATTTGTGATTTCTGTATCGGATTCCCTGATTCCCCTCGAAGGCAACCCTTGGGTACTCGCGGGTTTCAGTGGTTTCTTTAGTTCGGGATTTTCTTTTTTTCCCTTTTGTATAGTTAACTAGTTAACTAATTACTAATAAAGTTGATGCGACAATGATGTCATAGTTATTTATCATCAGGTTTGTTGTTGTTGGCATTAAAAGGCATTTCATTCATTGAAAGGAGTCATTCTGATGTTGTAGAAGACTTGGTAGTCCCAGCTGACGAGAACAGGGCTTGATATTGATATCTGTGCAATCTCGCATGTAGTTACAAGATGATAATATGTAGTTACTGAGTAGTTGCTGGTTGGATTAACAGTGCTGACCGCCGTATGAGCTCGGTATGTAGTGCAGACTCCTGGCCACGGAATTACACGCTCCCTAACTCCGTCAATGTGGTGGACTTTGGCGGAGTTAGTCAATCCTGTTATATATATATATATATATATATACAGACAATGCCGTGATCAGAGGGATAGATGAAGGGTTTTAAGCCGTCATACAATAAGATCCAGGCATAATTAAGATATCTCTCAAACCCTCCATCCACTCCTCCTCGCCATGCCACCCACCAACATCCTCCTAATCGGCGCTGGCGAACTGGGCACCGCCGTCCTGCACTCCCTCATCCACCACCCCACCCGCACCAATAACAAACCCTCCCTCTCCCTCCTCCTCCGCCCAAGCAGCATCGCATCCCCAAAACAACCCCCCCTCGCCGCCCTCCTCCAATCCCTCACAGCACCCAACAACCCCCCAATATCCCTAGTCCCAGGCGACATTGCCGCCGACTCCCCCGAAACCCTCACCGCCCTCTTCCGCCCCTACGACCTCATAATCAGCTGCGCCGGCTTCGTCGCGGGCCCCGGCGCCCAGCTGAAAATAACCCGCGCCGTCCTCGCCGCCGGCGTCCCCTTCTACATCCCCTGGCAGTTCGGCGTGGACTACGACGCCATCGGCCGCGGCTCCGCGCACGACCTCTTCGACGAGCAGCTAGATGTGCGCGGGCTGCTGCGCGCGCAGGAGACGACGCGGTGGACCGTGGTGTCCACGGGGATGTTTACGAGTTTCTTGTTCGCGGCGGGGTTTGGCGTTGTGGATCTGCCGGCACCAAGGGGGGAGAGTGCGAGGGTGCGGGCGCTGGGCGGGTGGGAGAATCGGGTGACTGTCACCGCGCCGGCGGATATTGGTAGATTAACAGCTGAGATCGTGTTGGGCGATGACGGGTTGCTGGGCGCTAATGGGCCTGTGTTTGTCGGTGGGGATACGCTAAGTTATGCGCAGGTGGCCGATTTGGTGGTGAAGGTTACGGGGAGGGAAGTTGAGAGATCGGTTTTGACGGTTCCGCAGGTTCTGGAGAGGTTGGAGAGGGAGCCCGATAATGCGTTGTTGAAGTACTATGCTGTTTTTGGGGCGGGGAAGGGTGTTGCGTGGGATTTGGAGGAGACGTGGAATTTCCGGAAGGGGATTCATGCGATGACGGCGGAGGAGTGGGCGCGGGAAAATTTGTGAAAACGTATAGAGATAATCGTCCTACTAAAATAGGGTCGTATATTAGATGTTCTATATCTCGCATAAAACTGGACCTAAAATTATCTAGAGGGAAAGTTTTAGTAGAGCATATAGCTAAAGGAATATTCTAGCGAACAAGGACTCAATAACATCACATAAAAAACGAAAAACGCTCAATCGAACAATCCCGTGCAGGGGATTCGCAATCATTTTTATATCCGTTTCATCCCTTATGCAGTCCCATCAAGTCATATAGAACCTGCAATCCTTATGACCACCAGGCAACGAGTCCCAGGCCCGCAATCTGCATAGACCCCTATTTATTTAAATCACTTCCATTAGCTCCTAGTCATTATAAAGTAACCTGATCATCGAAAGGAAAAAGGAAAAGTAAGGGCAGTGGAGTAATAGGGAAAAGGAAACATACAATAATAGAATACGGCGGCTTCCTCTCCATAACCGCCCCACCTTCCTGATCATCAGGCGCGTCTGGGATCTGGTCATGCCACTCCTCCGCCTCAACTCGAAAGCGCACCGTCTCGCCAATGTCAAAGTAGAAAATTGCGCCTTCGCCGTTATCCCAGATCCAGACTTGGTCGGCGAAGTCGCTGCAGGCAGGAGAGCGAGGACATGAGCAGGTTGGTTAATATATGTTCCATATTGTGAAGGTGGTTGGGTGGGTTGTCAGGAGAACATAAAATATGAACATACAATCTAGCACCGTCCAGTAAAAGGCTGGGGGGTATAAAGATATCATTGAAGAATTCAAGGCTGACTGCAAGTTTTTTTTTCATTGAGGGTCGGTCCTATTGTTAACAATCATGTGGCAATGGGCAATCCTTATACAAAAATGATGGGAACGTCCTCGCCAATGCCTTTCAGGGGAAGTTTTTATATTTCAACGCACTTTTAATGCCGTTCTCTGTTCCACTGGTGATTTTCCCCAGGATAATCTCGCCCTTGAAGGGTCGGAAGACAATTAATCGAAATTTAACTGGACCAAATAGAACGTCACTCAGTAACCAGCTGCAGGGCCATTTCATTTCATGAGTGTACTATGCATTTCGGTGATGCATACCATTGACATTGACAAGGCCAGTGCCATGTCCAATCAGGCCATCAGAGGACTCGAGCAAGTCGTAAAAACTGATGCATAGGCCAACATTTTGGATGACCTGAAGCAAAATGTTAGTTACCAGAATGTTAAACGAATGCCAGTCGGGACATATATATCTTTTTTCACATACCTTATTAGCATATTTCTCATTAATATTATCCTCGATTGCAACCGCGCTAAGTTTTGAAAAGTCCTCAGGGGAAATTTGGACTAGGTCGGAGATGGTTGTCTAGGGGAACGTTCATTCAGAATTAGAGCTCGGCAGAAAACTTCAAGTAAGAGAAGATAATTTTAATCAGAACCGAACCAGGGACGTACGAGAATAAACATGATGCTATTTATTTTAGACTGGAATGTCACCGGATAATGAAAAGTGAGAAATGTAACGACTCAATCCGCAGCATCTTCCACGACGCCTCGTGCTACAAACGGGAGAAAAAAGATGCTTCAGCAGTGAAAACACAAGGATGAACAACGACAATTAAACGGCAGAACAGATCATAGATCCATGTTCTATTCCAAAGAGATAGACGAGAAATATTGAAAGAAAAAGAAGTATACAAGAAGACCCCTCGTGTCCGCTTTTGATATTTCCACGTGACCGCACTTCCTGGCTCCGATATTCGGAACGGATCAACATATTGCCCCTGAAACCGCCAAAGCTGCAAGAATTACGGATGAAAACAACGATATGACATCTCCAACCATGATGGGTCCCTGAAGATGGAGGCCTTATTTCTATATCTGAGCATCTAGATTTCGTTTCCATTCCCACTTATACTATGAGTTCTGGCGGGTTTTCCTTTCCTCCACCCCCCCCTCCGCCACCACCGCAGGCTGGTCCGCCGAGCTTCCCTGGTCATGCGCCGACAACTCCATACAACCAGAACCAAAGAGGACGAGGCGCTGGAGGCTATCAGCGAGGTCGCGGAAGGGGAAATGCACACAGGAGCGGCAGGGGAAACCATATGGGTGGCCCCAGTCATGGCCCTCCCCACAATATGAATTTTACGCCTGCGAGCGGCAACAGATATGGGGCTCGCTCTCACCCTCACCCTCATACGCCTCCAAATCACCCATCTCCGGAGTATAACCAGCAAGGGCCTCCTGTACATTACGCTCCTCCCCAAAGCCAACCCAACTACCCCTCCGTACCACCGTATGCCCAGCCTCCTTCACATCTACCACCTCCGCAAAATGCGTACAGCCAGCCGGTCCCGATACAATATCCGTCCCGTCACCCTGCACCGCACCCGGCTGCATATAACCCGCCCGCGCCCATGCACCGGCACGCTCCGTCCCCTAATCATCACCCGCAACCTCATGTAATGCCGCCTCCTATGCGTTGGGGTTTTGAAAATGCCATCCAAAGCAGTCCCTACCCGGCCCCAAATTTGCGGGCCCCTAAGTATGGGGGGTACCCTGATATGCGCGACTCAAAACCTCCCCACCATCCGCCACGTCAGTCTCACGATCGCCATGGATCGCGGCCCTCTCAAGAATACAATTCATTCCCTTCAACAAACCAGTTCAACCGCGGTGATAAATTTGCGAATCGGGCTAATAAACGCCCATATTCCAATGCTTTTGGTGGACCACAGGCGTCTAGCACGAGGCCAACCGCCCCTCTCCCAGTCCCTAGTTTTGGAAGTTCGCTTCCTTCGAAACCGCCGCCCTCGGTCGACGCTACTAAGAAACACAGGAAGAAGAAGAGAAAGTATAACCAACTTGGTCTCACTCCGCAAACTGAGGAGCATGAATCGAGCGAGGAGGAGGATGACGTTGATGAGGAAACCAAGCTTTCACAAACTATTACCACTGGCGAGCTTAAATTTAGCTATAAAGGGCAGACCTCTACCTTACAGACACCGACGGATATCGCTACCTGGATCGAGGAACGTAAAAAGAGGTACCCAACCCGAGCAAGGGTCGAGGAGCGTTTAAAGGAAGCTGAAGAGAAGAAGCAGGCTGTAAAGGAAGCTAGAGAAGCTAAGAGGGCCAAAGAAAATGCCCTGAGACAGCAGAAGTATGCCGATCAGGAAGAAGCAAGACGGCTACAGGAAGCTAGGATGAAAAAGGAGAAAGATAAATTGGACAGGAAACTTTTGAAGGAGGAACAGCAACAGTCACTTGACCCCACAGATGCAGCTGCTAAAGCAAAACTAAAGGCGGAAAAGCTTCGACGGAAGCTCATGAAAGAAGAGAAGCGTGTTGCTAGGGCGGAGGCACATGCGGAGAAAGCAAGGCTCCGTGCTGAAGCATCTAAGATACAGACAAATGGGACCCTTGAAGGGAAGACAAACGCTGATACTACATCTAGTTCCGCAGCGGAGCATGTCCCCACTCCTACGGATTCGGATACCTCAAAACCAGCGCTTACTGCAGCAGAAGGCACCCAAGCTGATGATCAACTGGCTATTCGGGAGCCCCAACAGGAACCGCCAGCTTCAAAGCTTGAACATATTTGCCCCATAGACGAATCCCAAGCTCCGATTACTGAACATGTAGCAAACAACGTCGAACCAAAAGCCCCTGAAACCACAGGTACCATTGAACACACCCCACAAGTAAATGGACATACCTCCCCGCCAGGCGTAACTAGCAATAACCTATCCAGCGACTTGGAAGTTAGCGACAGCCTATCGTCACCCTCAGAGGACGATTCCGATCTCGACGATGAAACCACATCCAGCGGCTCAGATTCGTCCTCGGGAGACGATGACGACTCCACCTCCTCAGAACCAGAGCAAGCAACAATCCGACGAGAGCAACCCGACCGGGTCCTGCCTCCGGCCCGGCAGCAAAAATCACTTTGTCGTCAGTTTGCCAAAACAGGCCAATGTCGACGAGGTAACAGGTGTAAATTCCTCCACGAGGCTTCTGATAAGACTAAAGCTGCGGCGAGGCTATCCGCTTCCACTCAGGATAAGAAGGGGAAGAAATCGTTGTTTCAGGCTGTGGGTTTTACCCCTTAATTTTTTTTCGTACATATATACATATTTCCCCTTTTTTCACCGATTTTTTCCCAATCTATTCTGGAAGGTCAATGCATTTTTATTTATTTATTTATTTTACTGACAAAATCTATAGCTCGTGAGTCGTGAGAAGGAGGAGGAGGATCGGAGAGTAATGCAGGCAATATCTTGGTTGGGCCAGCGTGGTGTTTTAGATGAACCTGCAACCGATGCAGCACAGGAAGTTCATGAGGAGCCGCCACCAGCTACTTAAATCCTTTCTTTCCACAGTCAAGACCTAGGCGGGGGGAAATAGCCGTTGTGACCATAAGCAGTTCTCGCAATGGAAATTGGACGCTTAAGACGTATCATCCTAAATCAGGGAGCAAAGGTGAAGGCGGGAAAGAGCCATTGGTTATTCTTAAATTTTTCTTTATTTTTAATATACTATAGAACTTTCTTATATCCTAGAGAAAAAAAAAATTCTTTTTTTTTCTACTGTTATTTTTTACGCTACTAAGTCTCTTAAATGCTTGAGGCACAGCGATCTGCAACTCTACTCTAGTTAAGTTGCTGCTACTTTTTTTGGCTCCGGGGGTAGCTTATGGGGAATTACTGGTATTTCGGTTTATCTAGTTCAAGGTATTAACAGAGTAACTTACCTACCTCCTAATGCGTGCTTAGATTGAACTCTTCAGAAAGTGGTGCGGCTCTGCAGATGACTAGAGCGCAATGGGACTGGTCTTGGCGCTGGTTAACCCTAATTCAACGACCAAGGTAAAATTATTTAATGTACTACTGTACGTACGTGTACAGTTACGGCTTCGCCCGTTTCGTGCTCCCCAGCAGCAGCAGCAGCAGATCAAATTTTACTGCTAGCATAGATGTTTTTATGTCTATCTAATGGCTTAGCCGCTTAGCCAAGGGCATTATGGAGAATATAAGTTCTCTACTGAGCGGTCCTCCCGCTGAGATTTTTGTAAAGTATCACTGGCTTGATCGGCAAAGCCAAATGGGACTTGCCTCGATGAAGGAGGAAGAACCTTGTGAGGTAAACTCCGTAAATGAAATGATATTGGTTCCGTAGATAAGTCCGCGTTAACACGGCCGCTTGATAACCCACATCGTTTATTTTGTCACTATCAGCCATATACACTAGAACATACAGCCCCATCAAGTAAGGAGGCTTGTATGTACAGAGGCTCCTGCAACGTTTTGACTTGCGCTAAGAATTTAAACTGAAATGCTGATACCGGCATTAAGTATTGCCATTCCATCTCTTAATTAAAGGATAGGGAGTCCCAGGGGCCGTTATAGAGACCGATGCCCTAGCTTGCCCACTAGCTCACTGTCTAAATCCCAGGTAGTGTGGCCTGGAATCGAAATCATATTTCAGGATAAATTATTAGTTACTAGTGTGAGACAAAACTTTTCGCAGGGGGCATCTGTAGAGGTGTGAGGCGATCAGTATCCCCAAGCCACTATTAGGAAGCTAGAATGAGAAAATGTGGCGGTTAAAGGAGGTTGCCTAACGTGATTGTGCCTAAAAGGGAAACTTGTTTACCAATTCGATCCCAGGTCCTTCCAGTTGCACAATCCAAGCCCATTCGATAATGCGACGGGGCTAAGCAGAACTGCAGCCATGGAGAGGGCTGTCAGGGGTTGCATAGATCCCCGGACCACTGCTGACCCGCCCCAGTGGTTCCGTGGCTTGGATGTAAATTGCCACAATACTCCGTACAGAGGAGCAACAGGAAATCGCTAATATCGCGGCAGGGAAAGTTGGTGACGATTAGGTTGGTTGGTTCCAATTATTTGCGGCTAACCGGGCCCTAGATGATTTGTAAGCTAATTACTATTTTATCCTTTCTCTTGGAGGATAATGTTGTTGTGTTGTGTTGTAATCTAACTACGCGAGTTACACTAAATGGATAGGTTGGGGTGGCACGTGACTAGGGTAGGTGTAGTAATCACCAACACTTTCTTCAAAATGCAATAACAGCCAACGCGATGGCTTCTACGGAGTACATATATTTTAATAATAGAGAATAAGATCACTAGGAAGCTTCATGAAGAGTAGTTTATAAAGGAGGAGTCATATCTGCATCTAATATCTGTAAAATGATAATTATTAATCAATGGATTAATATTGAGGAGGCATTGGAGAAGTTGTGACCAAGATGAAAGAAGATTATGAAGAAACTTAAATAATATTGTAGAGATAGAAGCATTTATGTTAATACTATCAAATTTACAAGGAATTTATTATAGAAAAACCAACTTTTCCATGCAAAAAGTGACATCACATGCACCTCATCAAAAATATTTGAATGCTCATCTCTGCTCTCCAGCTCATACAGCTCAGCTCAATCTTCAAATCTTCATTCTTTTTTTCAATCTGCTCTTTTCATACATTCTCTACAGTATTTACATTCCTTATACTCTTCTCTATGTTCATTTTTGATCTCTGTGTTCATGGCATGCGCTGCTAAATGCCCTGTAACATGATCTCATGTGATGTCATGTGCACCCCTTTGGATCGGATTGAACAGCCGGCTCTGCGGCCTGTACGGCTCTGATTAATCTGATAATGGTGATAGGGGTGATACAGGGTGGAAGAGGGTGGTAGGGGGAGAGGGTGGTAGGGGCGGTAGAGGAGGTGGTGGTGGTAGAGGGAGTAGAGAGTGGAAGGGGTGGAAGTGGTAGAGGGGGCTGCGCAAGCAGCAAAGCGAGCGTAAGCGAGCGTTTGATGCTTGTAGTTGATTTAGAATATATAATCAGTATGTATCTATCATATATAGCTTCATTGAGTGCTAGGGTCCAACCAGAGGTTGCAGGTGAGCGGTAACTAGCTTACAAATCATCTAGGGCCCGATTGACGCCAGGAACTAGCCGCATCGCTCCCGCTACAACTATGTTGACCAAAGTCAATTCTTGGAATAACCTCATGGCAGCCTATGTAAACGGAACAGCTACCCAATTAATGGAAAAGCCCGAAGATCATTCTCCACCAATCAACGCTGGGAAACAGTAAGCAAAGCATCAGCGAACTTGAGTGGTTGGCTCTTGAAGACACCCCAAGCTCTAACACATCTCGGAAGGCAAGACAGTAAAAAAAGAACACATCACATCATATGTCCATTTATAATATTAGTTTCCATTTAGAACGTGGAGTCATCCGTACTCGGAGCTAGCCAGAAATAAGCGTCTGAAACATCGTTTCTCCAAGGCTCGAGTGAAGGAAGAGATGCGAATAGTATAAAGCCTTATTTCGGCTTTCACCACCTCGTACATCCTGAAGGGCGGATAAATAAAAACAAAACATAATCATTCTTTCTACAGGCTAGGATGAAAACGCCCTTTTTTGTCCTTTCGTTTGTTTCCTTTCCTTGTTTAATAATCACAGATTGTAAGGTGTTTACTTGGACTATTGCTTTCAGTGACCACGTGATTTACGATGCCCTAACTAATATTATTTTCGCCGGCTGTAGCCTATTGTCATTTAACTGCTTCAATAAAACTATGTCACAGATCATTGCATATTAATACAGTTAGATGTCTCAACATATGAATCACTGTCAAAATATCTCTTGTGTGATTTGACTAATCTATCTCTGTGACAAGCATAGAACATTGAATTTTGAGTAGAATATTTAAATAGAGAGTGCTAAGCAAAGCAGATTCATTTCATTGTTATTATTATTATTGATATTTCAAGTGAGAATTCTATTTGAAACTGAAAAAATGATTTGCAAGTTGATCAGAATAGCATCAGAAAAGAAATAAGAAAAGCAGCTCAGACAGCATTCTAAGTCTTACTCTAATAATCTCACATGAATTTGACTGTTATGTTGTCATCATTGTGATTGTGATTATTAAGTGATTGTTATAGATATTGTTGTTCTGTTTGAAATCTGAGAATTCTCTCAAAGTTGTATGAAAGCTGTCTAAATTCTTGCCAATTCAAGATTAGTTAATTTTCTAGAGATAATGGAAAAGTAGACAAAGAATATAATAATAATAAAAGAAGAAATGCTAACTTGATGAACTTACCTCTTCTCATTCCATTCCTTGTTTAACTCCTCCACTATCTTCTTTAACCTCACCTCTCTCTCACTTATCTTCCCTACTTCCTTCCTTAACTCCTCCACTTCCTTCATTAACTCCTTTGATTTCTTGTCTGACTTCTCCGATATCCTCTTCAACGCTAGCACCTCTTCCAATTCATTCAAATTCTTCTTGAGATTCTCCAGCACTTCCTCGCTGAAGATGGAATGCCTGGCACAGGGACCAGAAAAGAAAGCGTAATACCGTTGCAAATCCGATACGTCACTGTCGACGGCCAGGTTAAATTGGGCAATGCCTTCCCTTAAGAAGTCATAAATCAAATCGCCCCAATAATGATAATCTCTGTGCCGCCAACTCTCCCTGTCCGCCTGCTCGATTTCGAAAAAGACGTCACGACGTGTCTGTAACCTGTCTCTAGCGTCCATGTTCATATTGAAATCGAAGGAGGCAAAGTCTTCCGAAGCTTGACGGCGGAGGCAGTAGTAAGGATTATGATAATGAGTAATAATAGGAGGCGAAGGGGGGTTTTTTCGGGCTATTTCTTGATCTCCGTTTAAAACTTTCAGACGTTCGATAACTGGTAGGACTGATTGTTTTGGGAGGAGGAAGAAATGTATTTATATCCAATCCAGCCTTCCTCATCATTCTCACCCGGGTCATTACTTATTTTATGTGGCTCGGATGTATTCTGGTAACATATATTATATTCCTCCCTCTTGAACGGGTATACCCTTTACTACAGTGCTGTATTTCTTTCTGTGTTAACTACCTGCTCTCAAACTTTTCTTCATTTTTTCATTCAGTGTGAGTGAAAGCTACAGAAAGCTCACAAACCCAGTTCAAAACTGAATGCCTAGTCATGTCAACATCATATTGTCACATCTGAAATACATACATATCTTCTCTCAATGTCTTTAAACACACAATATTCAACACACACAGCTATATTAAAGATAAGAATTATAGAACAGTTACTCTCTAGTATGATCAACTGAAGAACACTTCTACTTTTTTTAAGTATAGTCAGTATTATATTGTGTGAAGAAAACAGTCTATGAATGTATGTGTATTTTAGATGAGATTGATATAGATAGAGTTCTAGGTTCTAGCCATGACCTGGGTTAAATTTCTAACCACGTTCAACCAAGATGTCCAGTCAGGCTAAGCAGAAGAGCAGTTCATGGCTTGAGTCGTTTTGTTGATCTGGTGTCATCGTCCAGTGCAAATTCCTCTCGTTCACGTTCTCTCTGTTCCAGCTCTTCCCTGCGATCCTTCTTATATTCCATAAATTCCTCCCTAAGGCCTGTTCGATTTTCCTGATATTGTCCACACAGTTTCCTTATTGAATAGTTAGCAATCAATTATTCTTATTTCATCATTGCAAAAGACCAGTGACCTGGGATTTTTTCTTTTCTTTTCTTTTTTTCTTTCTTTTCTTTTCTTTTTTTCTTTCTTTTCTTTTCTTTTTTTCTTTCTTTTCTTTTTTCTTTTTTCCTTTTTTTTTTTTAGGTGAATAAATTATCCGAAGAAGAAGCGGGAGAAGAAGAAGAGTACAAATAGTGACATACTCGCGAAGATTTACATCTGTCTGCAAAGATTCCAAGACTGTAGGAGTGATGTTTGTATCTCGCTGCCCCGTCTGGAGGCCCGTCAAGGTCGACAGCTTGACAGCGGCTTCAGCGGCGATTATCTGAAGCTGTTGAACTACCAAAATATTATCAAAAAGAAGTCCTCTTTTCTCATCTCACTCTCCCCCCTTTCTTTTTCTTTTCCTTTTTTTTTCTTTCTTTCTTTTTTTTTTTTTTTTTTTTTTTTTTTTTTTTTTTTTTTTCTAATTTTTTAATACTCACTAAGCTCTTTTACCACTTCAAATTCCCCTTCGGTTATTTTTAACCCCTTTTTATCGATAAAACTCGTATAGTCGATCAGTAGATTCCATTTTTCAGTTAGAATGTCTTCCACATTTTCGAACCTCGCAATGTCCTCTTCCACGCTCTCTTTAAGCCATAAAGAATAAGGACGGAGTTCCTGGGCTGACAAATCGCGTGTCTTAATTCTCAAAAAGTTCCCATAGGTTTTAGGCAGGGTCGGATCGAAGACCATATTTCACTCGGAAGGGAGAAAGTAGAAATGATAGACAGGGATAAGTATAGTCCAGCGGTGGGGCCAAATTCAATCGTATAGGAAGAAGATGAATTCGAAATGGTTAATATCAAATAGCACTTGAGTGATTTTCTTTGTGTCTGTTTAAATATCTTTTTTTTTTCTTTGTTTCTTTCTTTCTTTTTTTCTTTTTTTCATTCTTTCTTCCACCCCCCCTCCCCCGAAGCGGTGGTTGGTATGTGAGTGAGTGAACAGCTGAGGCACAAGGGATTCTGATAGTCGACACGACATTTAGATCCATATCCATCCAAGTCTGCATGGCTCGGATGTTACATGTACATACATTTATTACATGTACATACATATCCTATGGAAGGAAGATGTTCCCCCGCCACAAGCGGAATCAACCGTCCGCAAAGATGGAATCTGATAGGGAAATACCCGGTTGAGGGAGCGCCTTTGTTCATACATATATACATACTATGTATATATAGTCGTCTCTATCGAGGCTACAATTTTTATTTTATTTTTCCTCTTCCCGGACAAAACGCGAATGCTTGTTGATGAATGAATGCAAGTCCGTCTCCAGTCTCCTCCTGCTGGCTCTGTTCCTTTCCCCCGCCGATTGTTCTGTTCATCCATCCGTTTGAAGTCTGGATACGATACGATGCCACACCACACCACACTTGCTTCTACGATGTCCTACTACGTACGTAGTTACTTCTTTCACCTGCCAAAGTTTCCGTTAGTATCCTGAAAGACTCGACTGGCTTGGTCTCCTCTCCAAGGTTAAACCATCCATATCATATGCCACATGCAACCCTCCATTGTTGCTTCATGATCTTCATGCGCCTGCCACACAATTATTAACTTAACCCCCCCAATACCATACCACCGTGCAGCAGTCAAACGGCTCTTACAAGATATGGCCAGATTTCTCCCCCTTGCTTCCTCGGGATTTTATATTATACATTCCAATAAATAGCTCTAGAAAGATGCAGGGAAGAAAAAAAAACAAGTTACCTTGATTTTTTTTTATCAAACTCTCCAATTAAGTTACCCCTTTTTCCATATCTTTCGTGCAACCAAAAAAAAAAATATATAGTTATATATTAAAAAAAAAAAAAAAAAAAAAAAAAAAAAAAAAAAAAATTCGCCGCCCAGAATCCACGAAACCCAATTTAAGGTTGAAGTCGACCCGGGATGGGCCGAGAGGGGGTAACAGAACTAGTTACTCCTGCTGGGTAGCGTAGTTAGCCACCCGAGATTTACATAAACCATTCAGACTTCGACGAGCGATCAACTGAACATTGAGAAATAATAAATAATAGATTATTAATAATCCAAGTAACTACTGGATATCCCACGAGGGGGGGTACTTTCTGTACGCTATTATTTATATATATACTCCGTACTGGGGATCTGAAGCGAAAGAAAGCCAGGGCAAATCGGTCGAAGCTTGTGTAGCGACGATCAGCCTTGATTGAAGCCACAACCACCATTTGCTATATCAGGTTTACTGGAATCGGTGCAAGAACCGCCCCGTGAAAACAATGGTTCTGGCACTCTGACAACTGCTGACAACTGCTGACACTGCTGATCCATTGATCTGTTGATCCATGTTCCATGTTCCATGATCCAATGATCCGAGATCCATTCCGAGATTCGTGATCAGTTGAGTTTGATCAGGTTAGGTTGCAATTATTATTAAAGTTAATGATAATCAATCATCATCATCATTTCATCATCATCATTTTGTCCAAGGAATCAATCAATGGATCCAAAAGACCCAAGATTCCACGCTGCGGACAGCATTGAATGCTCTCTCCTGATTCGCCAATGCTGTCAGCCAAGGTCGCATCGTTGGAACCAACCGCAAGCCCCAAGACCACGCTAATACTCATCGAGCCTAGCTTTAGACACAAGCTCAGAGAGTAAAATGACTGGTTGGGGGCAGTTTAAACAAGTCGTAGTTGGGTTGGGGGGACACAGATAGCATAACATAACACTCATTGGTTGTTATTAGGGGGGGGGGGGGGGAGGGGGGGAAAGAAAATCCGCTTACAACATGCTCTCAAAACTAACGACTCTCACTGATATTCTAGACCTCAATGCACAATCACTACCACCAGGGAGACCAGCCTCGTGTCTTTTTCGCGTCCCATTAAACACAAAAATAGATCCGTAGGCAATATCACCAAGTCTGAAATTCCATTGATTCAGAACAAACACACATATCACTACACCTACGCCACAGAACCGT